AGTGGGACTAGCTGCTCTACTCCTGGTCTTGGGCTGCGGTGTTGCACTCGTTCCTCTGGTGCCTACACCAGGCCTACCTCCCATACTCTTGAGACGAGCTATCTCATCGTCTTTTGTCATTAATGTACGCTTCGTAATGCTCAGCTCCATTTCCAACCTCTTGATACGTTGCTGTTGATCATCATAGACTCTTTCAATATGCATGCTCTTCCGCTTAGTGGCGTCACCTGAAGCCGCCTTGGAAAGTGTGATGTGCTGGGCCTCGAGTTCTTCAACGCGGGCGGTGGCGGTAGAGGCCGTGGACCGGGCATCCTGCAAGCTTTCTCTCATGTAATCCAACGTCTGCTCTGCTGCCGCAGCCTTCTTCACTGCCTGCTCCGTCTTTTCGTTCGCTTCGTCGAGCTGGTTGCGAAGCTTGGCGATCTCTTGAAGTCGTGCATCGTCTCCAAGGAGGGCCGTATCCCGCTGTTCCTTGAGCTTCTCCTTCACCTCACGCATTTCTGTTGTACGCGTCGTGAGGCGTTCGGTGAGAGTAGCGTTGTTCCTGGTCAACGTCTCGACTTTGTCCTCGGCGTCTTGTAGTCTTCTCTTTACACGGCGATGCTCGCTTGCCAGATCCTCATGCACTGTTTGTTGCCTATCCCACATATCCTTGTGCTCACCAAAGTCTCTTTGACCTGCTCTACGAGCTTCTCGCTCTTCCCGAAGCCCTTCTTTCGCATGGGCTAGCTGTGTTCGCAGATCAGAATCGTAAGCTGCAGTGCCAGGCATGGAATCGCTAATGTGGGTGACCTCGTGCTCCTTATCCACCACAGAAGCAGGCAGTGTCTGCGGTTGGGGAGTGAACCGCATACGCTTTGCAGGGTCGAGCTCTTCATCATCCAGAGGGCGTTTGCTACGTTCAGGTATAGGGGCGTCCGTTGAGGTCTGTTGCGTCTGTTGCGTCTGATACTCTATAACGTCCTTGACACTACCAATGGAAGACAGCGGCCAATCAGCACCTTCCATCCTGTTCTTGATCCAGTAGGAGACCAATTCAGCGCACTCCACGTCTCGTGGTGTGCGTTCATCGATGGCTTTTCCAACATCAGGATGAACATGCGCCAGGCTTGCTAGGATAGTATGCATGTGATCGATGGGATCCAGGCTGGACGTTATGTATCGTTCAATATGGCCGACAGTCCTCGGAATGACTAGATGAAGCACAGGTACCACATCGCAATTAGGTGATTTGGCCCAATTCTTTTTGCGAATTTGTGCTGCGTCTTGCACACCGTCGAGACAGATGATCAGGTCGGGAACATGTATGATGGGCGATGCATCGCTTGGGATGATGGTGACCAACAAGTTACCTACCACCTCTTTCAGGTTTGCCTTCCGATCTTTACCAGGCATAGTGTAGTTGATGTACGTTGTCTTACAGAACGTCTCAAGGATGCGGAAGAGTGTCTCGTTGTCGCTCTCTGTGACCAATACAACGTGTTTCTGCGGCTCGCAATGCCGCAAATCATTGAACAGCGCTGACAGAAATCTAAACTTGGTGGAGTTTTCCAAGCCAAATCTAGCTGCGTGCTCTGCTTGCGTTGCCGAAGCCTCACCATCTAAAGCGTTCGATTCAGCCTCAGCGAATACCAAGTCCATGTGCGTCTCGATAGCGCGTAGCTGGGATAGGACGTTTTTGACCTCCTCGACTGAGTTGAGACTGTGACGATCTTTCAGGAACGGCTCTAACAGGTCCCTCTTCGCGGTGATGTACTGGGCGTATGTATCTCTTTGTCGACCCGAGATATACAAAGGCACGATGAACTCCTGGTCTACTAGCTGCAGATCATCATTGAAGAGGCTCTCACTATCTTCATCGTCTGCGTCGCTGACCTCCATCTCGTCAGATGTGGGAGATCTTGGTACCGGTACGATAGGCTCTGATGGCTTTATTGCTTCAGCGATAGTAGGCTCTGGATGATTCCTTGGTGGTGAAGCCATGACCTTATCTAGTGCGGGAGCTTCTGGCTGCACGTTGCTGGGAGCATAGGCGATATTCCGGAGCGACGTCGGCGCTTGCGCAAGAGGGGAGCGGTCTGGCACAGCGGAAGGCGATCGAGTGCCTTCTGCCGGCTCTTGCGTCTCACGTAGCCTGCTCACTGGCGTAGGCGTAGCTGCGGGCGCATTTTCCACTACTGAGGGCGTCATCGAAGACCTGGGACGCCTTCTGGGAGTACGGCGAGACTCTGCTATGCGCTTATCGATGGCTTCTTGCATCTGCCGCCTAATGATGTCTCCGGTACCCTCGCCCGCCATGATTGAGAGCGATGAGGTAGGAACAGGCGTACAAGGCCGTGATGGAAGTCGAGATGCTTGCGTTTGCAGCGAGTAGCTGGGTGGGTACGGAACCGGCGAGGTCTCGTGATTCAGCGATCTGGAAGGGCGTTCTGGCGATTCCTGCGATGAGTCGTGACGAGACTCAGAGCTAGCCCGATGCGCCACCTCTTCTTCGATAGTATCTCGTATGCTCTCAGCTGTATCTTCTTGCGTGCTCAGATCTGCCTCAAGAGGTACTACTTGCGCGTTCTGTACGCGCTCCGGACTGGATGACGCGTGCAGCAGTTGATCACGCAGAGACAGCTCTTCTTGAAGCTGGCCTGACGGTGAGACGCTGTGAGCAGCCTCAGGTTCGAGAAGTTCCACTAGCGTGTCGTTGTGATCTTGGTGATGGGGTGCAGTGGATGCTTGGACTGATGGGTGAGGTGGGTCGAGCGCTGGCGCCGGATTGGATTCGCTTGGCACACTTACCCCAGCAAGTACTCGTCCTGGGAGGGCCGGTGTCGCGCAAGCTTGTGGGAGCTGTTCTGAGGACTTGATACAAGATACTGATTGTGAAGGCTGAGAATGCCGAAACGGGTATTGCGACTGGAAAGGGAACTGTTCGTTGTCTTCCAATACCGAATGCTCAATTAGACTTGGTTGACTGTCGCAAACGCTGATCTGCTGGAAAGCTTGATGTTGCGACAGCTCGTTACCACCGTCGGAGACTTGTGTATCGCTAGCTACGTTGGGCCTTTCGGTGAGATGAGATTGGCTGTTCTCGACTAGTGTAGATGGTTTATTGAGTGAGGTCGGGACTTTGTTTGTGTCGACAGTCTCTGTCGAAGCATTCCTTGTAATGTCCGTAGCCGCTGCTTCCAAACGAGGGTGTTCGCCTAGTGTACCGGTCTCCTTGCTTGGGGTAGTCTCGCGTGCGCTTTGTGCTGAGTGAGTCTGCGAAGCGGCGTGATCAGCCTGGGGCGCCCCAAGCTCGTTGGTTCCTACTCTCTGATGCTCGTCCTCTGCAACACCCTGATTGATTTCGCTATATTGAATCTGCAGAGTATCGTCCGGTTCTGGGCTCGACTCGTGTTCCACCTGTGAGGAAATATGTATGAACTCGAGTGTGTTCGGAGCACCTCGCGACTCTGCCTCAGGTCTCTGCCGCTGGCTCTGCGAGTCCGCTACGGTGGTATCGGGAATCGTCTCGGGTATCGATCGTGCAGGTGACAGCGCGTGTTGTGCGGCTTCTTCGATGAGTTCAAGGAGGCCCTGCAAACACTGGTTAGCAAATACATTGATTTCTGGGTATGAGAAGGATTGGTCATACCGAATCTTCAGCAAGATCTTCCTCCACTTGCGATTCGTTCGTATCAGTGCTCTGCTGGCTGATGTCTTCGGTGCGTTGAGTTGTGGGTACGAAGCTTCCTTCACCGCTTGAACTCTGCGAGTCGGGGACTATGTCTGACAGATGGGGCCGTGGGCGTGCTGCGAACAACTGCGAGCTGTCGAGATTGGTGTCCTGGGTAGGCTCTGGGGTCGGACCTGGCTGAGACGATGGTGTCTGCGAGAAGCGCACGTAGTTGTTCCTCTCGAGACTGTCGCCCCGTCGAGCGATTTGGATGCGAGGCGAAGCACGAGCTGCGGGCACTGCGGCACTGGGCAGTCCCTCCGAGTCGGCTCGATTGTCGAGAGGCGTCGAAGGTGTAGATGATGCGGTGCTGGGCTCCGGGCTACTGTCAACCACACGGGAATTGCGGATGCGCCTCGATGCTTGTGCCTCCTGTGGTTGCTCTGGGTGTCCGTTGTCGCTTCCTGGATATCGCTGATGGACTTCTGCCAAGATGCGCGCCTTCTCCTGTGCCCAGTGGGCGACGAGTAAGTCGTTGGCGTTCTCCTCTGGCTCCCAAGTCGGTTCCCACGTCTTTCCAGTCTTGGGGTCAATCCCTTGCCATTGGATGTAGTATTTGCGTACACCACGGACTACTCGTTCGTCGAGAATGCTCTCTGCCGCCCACAAAGTGTCGCTCTGGCTGCCGGGTTCGCTTTGGCTCGAATCGACGTATCGTGAACGTTTGTTTGTGTTGGTTCTCAATGAGTTGCGCTTTCTCTTGGGTCGCGCCATTACGCGCAACTTCCGTTGGAGAATGTGTCGAAATATATCGTCTCCATTGTGGGTAGAAAGAGGTGAGAGTAATGGTGCGCCGGGCCGTGGGCGGGTGAGTGGTGACTGACGCGTGGTGAACGGTGATGGGTGCGGGACTATCCGCAACCAAATGACGAGCCCGCGGTGGACGCGTCTCGACGCGTCCCCGACTGCAGTGCCGCGGCATCACTGACCCTAAGCCGCCATATCGATTACGGGGTCCCAGATAGTTATGCTACTAATATAAGCTTAAACAAGAGATATCTCTTGCATTATATGATCTTCGTGTGGGCCATTCGGAGCATGCTACGAGTTACGCCAATGTCAGAGTCACTCGCGTCAAGACGTGAAATCGTACGGCCAATTATACAAGTGGATTAGGCAAGCTATAAGATAATCAAGTCACCCAGAGAAGGGCTCTAAAGTCTTTCGTAAGAATGTACATGCTTCTTCCAAGGAATACCGGCATGTGTTGGATATCCTACAGTTTTGCGCATCGATTTTGAACGCATGTCTGCATGCACCATTTGGTCGCAAGCGTTCACACCTCATCTCAGTATCGCCCGCCTCGTCCGTTACCCCTCCAGCCTCCCCTGTTACCGTTGTTGCCACCGCGCTGCCCACCTCCATAGCCGCGTCCACCTTGGTATCCGCCACGGCTCTGACCATACTGGCCATTGTTGCCGGGACCGAAGTTGTTACCATACTGATTGCCGCCCTGATTTCCAAATTGGTTTCCGCCCCGGTTTCCACCCTGGCCTCCGTGATGGTTGCCAAATTGGTTGCCTTGTTGCGGACCGTTCGGTGGCATGTTCATGTTGGGAGGTGGAGGCTGCCACATGCCATTGAAGTTGGGGGGCGGAGGAGGAACGAAGCCACCACGTCCTTGGAACTGCGGTGGGGGTGGAGGAGGAACACCGAATGGCGGCATTGGCATCGGGAACTGGCCTTGGAACTGGCCTGACATGTGCGGTGGTGGAAACGGTGGCGCGTTGAAAGGCGGCTGATGCAGCATGGGTGGGACCTGGTGCTGATGGTTGTTGGGACTGGACTGGGTTTTCCTGTTCGCACCACTCCACTGTGATCCAGGCTGAGATCCTTCTCTGTCGTATGCCCTTGATGACGGTCGCGCCTCGACGAAACCTCTGCCCTCAGACTCTCGGCGCGAAGGTCCATGTGGTGATACCCTGCGGCGACCCATGGATCCGTCGGGCGACATTCGACGGCGTGCGTCGTCATACTGATAACCCCCAGGGCTACGGCGACTGCGACTGCGACTGCGGCTACGATTGTATCCCCTTCTTCGTTCCCTATAGGGTGGGCCCGACTCTGTCGACGAGGAGGTAGAGGGTCGACTATCGTGGCCAACGCGACGCGCGACAGACAAGACCGGTGGGTCCTCCATGTCCTCCATGCGTTCGATGTCCTCTCGCGCGATCTTGATCGTCTCCGGGACGGTGAACTTCTGTATGTCTTGACAGAACTTTGGCGACCAGCCGTAGCCGTTTGCCACTGTAGCTGTCTCGCCAGTCTCCTTGTCCTGCTTAACCAGCTGGCCCATAGGATCCAACGAAAGCCTATATTTGGTTGTTTCCCCGGTCGGATTATCGCCCGTTGGCAGGTACTTTAGGTCGATGTTTTCGAAGAAGTTATCGAGGAGGCTGCGAACGTGCGAACTGACAGGCTTCTTGTCAAACTTCCGTATCTTGATTTGAGATTCGTGGATCGGGCGGTTCGGGTGTTTGATTATGGGCTCGAGCATGTACGATGCGGGGAGATCGTGCCATCTGGCATTTCGGTCGCCGTGGTATTCGGGAAGGACGTAGTTGCGCTTGCGACCCTGTGCTACGGACAAGGCCTCGTCTGCCTTGTGTCGACAAGCTTTCAGACCCTCTGAGCTCAAGAGCTTGTTAACAGCCCAGTAGTTGACAATGGCTTTCAGCTTCACCTCTAGCTGCGATCCCTTCTCGGTGATACACGCCGCTGCGAGTTCGATCAAGTCAGGGACAAAATCTTGACACGCGTTGCCGAGAATACTCTGCTTTGTCGTGTCGCGACGATGGAACTTGTCAGCATGGAGGGCATCGTTGACGATCAACAAGAGATCCATCCGGTTGCGCGCTGCTTTCTTCGCTAGCGCTGGAGTGCTCTGATCTACTACGACAGACTTTGAGACAGCGATGAGATACGCGCCGAGGGTGGTGATCCGAGCCTTGGAGGGAGCTACGTGCTTCACAATCCATTCTGTGCATTTCTACGAGCGGCGAATTAGTCTGCTCCCGGTGACATGTGATCGCGGTCTTATAGTTAGATACCTGGATATTGATGGGCGAGTTCTGCTGAAGAACGGCATCAACGTGGTTGAAGAGCTGAGAGCTAATTTCGACTGCAATGGGCGCTGAACGATCTTCGGCATCGGAATCCTTCATTGCCTGCTTGAACTTCACCTGCGCAATCGTTAGACCTGACTTGCGCTTAGCATCATCATTTGGCGCCATGTTTGGCGACGTGAGGTTGCGACAATGAGTTCGTGGTGGGGAAGGAGGTCGGCATGGGTGTCGCGAGGGTGTTGATGTTTCCAAGCTTGCGAACGCGAACGACGCTAAGCTAGCGCGCCTTCCGCATCGTTCACCCCGCCATCGGCCAAGGCAATCACAGAAATGTCCGCCAACGACGCCATCCAAGATGAGGTCACCTCGCTCAACGCCATCTTCGACGAAGGCACCCTGTCAGCCTTAGATGAAGACCAACGACTATACAGTCTACGTCTGCCGTCGCTGCCATCGATAACTCTGCGTATAGAATTTCCAGCAGACTATCCGGATGCGCCGCCATCCGTGCTAGGCACTCAGAGTGTGGGACAAGATGTCCCCAAGGGTATGGGCAGCCAGGCTGTCGATGTAGTGAGAGAAGTTCTGGCAAGGGTCTACCAGCCCGGTGAGGCATGCATCTACGATCTGCTCGAAGAGGCAAGAGAAGCTTTGGAGCAAGCGGAAGAGCAAGGAGACATCCAACTACACGATCAACACCAGGACGAGCATTTAGAAGAAGGCAGACTTTCTCCTATACAGTCCGACCCGGCGATCGACCTTGGACCGGAGCCACCTTGGATCGTAGCACCCGCCCTTACCGAAAAGAAGTCAGTTTTCTTAGCTCGAGCAGCACCTGTATCGTCACCAGCACAGGCTAGACAGTATGTTGCGCATCTCCTAGCGACAGACAAGAAGGCTGCTCGCGCAACTCACAACATGACTGCCTGGCGGATCAAAGGCCCGAACGATACAAGCTACCAAGACTGCGACGATGATGGTGAGACTGCTGCAGGATCGCGCATGCTGCACTTAATGCAATTGATGGATGTTTGGAACGTCATGGTGGTTGTCACAAGATGGTATGGTGGTATACATCTAGGTCCTGACCGCTTTCGCATCATCAACACTACGGCTAGGGAGGCATTAGTCTTGGGTGGCTTCGCAAAAGAAGGCAAAGACAGCGATACGAAGAAGAAGGGGAAGAAGTAGAAGGAACATATCACCTGCTCGCTGTGAGACATCTATCTAGTCTGCACAACGTCATCCGTTCACCTTCGTCTTTCCGGTGCACTGACATGTACCCACAGCTTTCACCTGGCCCGCAGCAAAGTCATTTCCTAACGCTTCCAGAAATCACTCACAATACAATCTCCTCTCATTCACTCGATCGCACAGACCCTCGCCTATATAAGTCGCGCCTGTTTCATATTGCACACTCACCACATCACTGCGCGTTTCTCTCAATCACGACCAATTAATCACTGAACCTCACAGAACGAAACCTTCGACACATACTATTGAGAATGAGTTATTCCGGTCGTGGAAATCATAGATCGAGCTCCGGCAATCGTGCGGGTCAGAATTTCAGCACACGAGGACAGCGTCTCGGTGGTGGTGGTGGTGGTGGCGGCGGCGGCCATCCGCATCAAGCTCGCAGTCAAGCTACAGCGTATGTTCCCCAACGCTCTCGTCAACCTCCTCACATTATGTTCATCGAGGAGGACGATGACGATGACGATGAATACGATACTGATATCGGACACTCCAGCTCCCACAGGTATCACGATGCTATGCATGGTCTAGCCGACACCATGGCGGAACTGGACAGTATGCTCGGCTCTGGGCCACAAGGTGAAAGCATGCGAAGTGCCTTTGGTCCAGGATTCCCTTTCAACGACACAGGCGGTATTCCGGGGTTCGACGCCCTTCATATCGGTATGGGTGCTGCGTTCGATAGTGCATTTGAGGGAGCCTTCAGCCATCCCATCTTCTCTGGAAACGACATCGCTCATGAGCCTAGAGCTAATAGACCTGGAAGCAGTTTTGGCGCGAACTTTCCATTTGGACCTAGCAGCCACACACCTATCCATGTTGGAGGCTTCGGACGAGGCGAAGACCTACCTTTCCATGCTCACCCCACCCCACCACGTCGATCTGGGTACGTTCCAGTCCCTACACGAGGCGGTTTCCCAGTCGAGTTTGAGCCTCATCCCCTCCCAGCAGACTACCAACCCACTGAAAGCAGCGAGCAGCGTATCAACAACTTCGTCGCACGCAATACCGAGCCCCTCACCGCCAACAACACGACCAGCACGACAAACACAGACTGCCCAGTCTGCATGGAGAATGCTACGGCGCACGCATGTGTCAAGATCAAGGGAATCCAAGGCTGCGAACACATGATCGGTCGAGACTGTCTCAAAGAATTCCTGAAACAACGACCGGATGACGAGAAGACATGTCCTCTTTGCCGAGCTGTCTGGCTTGCAGAAAACGGCGTTTGGCAAGATTCAGATCAGTGGAGTGAACGTATTGCGCAGGCGAACCTAGGTCATCGTTTCGCGAGGTGGTAGAGATGACACTGCATAGCAACAAGGTAGTTCTTAGAGACGAGGAAGCGGAGGCTGATGAGATCTGTGGCAGCGCTATTGCGCGTTGTAAAGATGAAACGGGTCTATAGGTCGAGATGAAGTCGGACTGATTCGTTAATTAGATAGATGGATTAGCGTTCATTCTAGGAGATGAAAAAGGATGTGAGAGCTAACAGGTTCGTTATAAACACAAGAGTGCAAGCAAGCAATTATGTATTATATTGATGACATTTTGACATAGCATTCACAAAGGGTGATAGCTGAACACCGTGAAGTCTACGTGGGCGCTAGGTCTTCTACACTTCGCATTACACCCTCAAGTCGTCTGTAGATCTGTTCAGATCCCTCTTTGTATGAGGCTGCTCTATTTCGGTGGGCCGGTAGCGAGCAACTGCTCAGTTATTCTCCGAAGTTCAACCTGGATCTCTGCGTCGAAGTAATTCCAAGTCGGAGGTGCCTTGAAGTGGCCCTTAGCCGTATGGTCTTTTCCTCTCCGACTGACGATTGTGGCATATTGAGGAGGCCGGTCGTCTGGGTCAAGCATGGTGAGCTGCATGGATGTCTCGGCGTGCAGTACCTGTTCAAGTTGCCTTATTCGTGCCTCATATTGACGTCGCCTCCTTTCGCCCCCTTCCACCGCGGGCTCAAAGTGGTTGCGTGCAAGGCAGATGTATGTATGTTGTAGGGCGCAGGATGCGAGTACATCATATCTGAGCTTGAGGTAAGATACTATGCTCGACTGGCTGGTGACTTCCACGGAGAACCGGGCATCGTCGAGCAGCGAATCCGGGGTCGTAGCAGGGGAGACATCGGCGGTATCCAGCTTGATTACCCACGAGAGCTTGTCGCTAACGGAACGTGCAAAGGTAAATTCTGGATGTATCTTATCATTCTTGATCATCCACTCGCCAGTCTTGACGATCAGTCCTTCTTCAGAGTCGCGCTTTATCGCGGCGATCGTGCGTGGATAGTCCGTCTGTGTTAAAGGAGTCATTCGGTAAGACGTTCGCTTGAGGATGGTCGCGCATGGAAATAAGCAATACGCCTTATTCCAAGAGATGAAGCATGCTCGAGCGGAGCACGCGCAGCCTTTGAGAATTGCGTCGATGGGAGAATGGATACAGTGAAAGAGAGTGACTGAAGTTTCGCCGCCGTCACTAGTCGATGTCTTTTTGAAGCAAGAAAACTACCAGTAGTTAGTCAGGTACGTATGGAAAATGGTGTAAAGCAATGAAGGCCCACCTTTGAGCTGCCAAATTCTACGCTTCCACCCTCGACCCCAAAATCCAAAACATAGCCATCCTGTTTGAGATAGCTAATGAGAGCATCCGCCTTCTCCCCAGCTTGCGTAAAGAGCTGAAGTTCATTCTTGACTTGCAGACGACGGAAGAACTTTCCGGCGAATTTGCTTCCGATCAGAGTCTCGGTCTGGGCCTGCACAGAGCGGAACTTTCGAGTGTCTTTGAAGAATGGCTGCAGGCTTGTGTTCATGTTCCACTGGGTCTTCTTCATGTTCGCGTACAGATCCGATGTCTTTCTGCAGGCTAACTGAACATTGCGTATATCATCAATACCCAGGTAAGATGTGACGAGTGAGTGCGTTGTGTAGCGCGACTCTCGATTGATGACAAGATCCATGAGGTCTGACACTGGATTCGGGGGTGGGCGCGGCAGAGACATGGATTGGACTGTTGGAGGCGAGATTTCTCCGAGTTCTTCCACGCGCGCTTTAGCAGGCTCGTTCGAGGGTTGATTGAGTTGAGCCATCGTGGTCGATAATAAGTGTGGAATGCGGTTGGGTAGATCGATGCAGCCTCGAGAGAAGAGAAACGAATGATATAAGTACTCAAGGCGTAGAAACCGATTAGGTGAAAGCCGGGATAGATAAAAGGAGGCAGTATACCACGCGGGCCCGTCTGAGTGAAATAGACTCTGAGCTGGATTACGGTGCCTTAAGCTGAGGCATCGAGTGCGTGTAAGAAGAGTGGGTTCTTCTCTGCAAGAGAGTTCTCAGCCCATTCACTGAAGTGCTCGATTCGCAACTGGCACTTGAAACCTCTTTCTCCCCTTCCACGACCAATCCACAGCAGCGCCTAATATGATCGCCCCTAGAATCGGTCCCGCATAATTCATGTTGAACCTGTCCACAGGGAGGATAGTGGGCAGTGGCATCCAAACAAAGGTGAAGACAATGTAGCACAAAGCTCCAACGTTGATGTATGCGCCAGCTGCGCCCATCTTGAATGGACCCCATGGAATTGGTAGAGGCCTCGCGCTTATCGTCCGACGCCAGAAAAGGAACAAGATGGGCAGAAAGTACGATAGGTACAAGCCCATTGCCGGAAGGGAGATAAGAGCGTTGAACGCCGTACTCGATGCAATGTTGATAAGAGCCAGGATACAAACGCAGAGGCCGCTGAGACACAATGCGTTGACCGGTACCCTCAGCTCAGGGTGGACCTTAGCAAAGGTATGCGAGAACGGCAATCCCTCGTCCTTGGAGAACGCCCAAATAAGACGAGAAACCGAGGCGAATATGTTGAAGAACGATACGAAGATTATGTAGACCAGCATGAACATGAACAAATTTGTGGC